CTCTCCTTGTCCGACAAGCATACAAGAATATAATATAAATCATTTTGTATGGATACAGTAAGAAATATCTTAAACTTATAAAATTGCTCTCCTAGGGCCATCTCGATCTCAGACTACGGTGCTCAGGCCAGATAGTCTTTCCCACCCGTAGCAGGATCCTAGTCTTGTCATTACCTTTGGATCATGACAGCATTTGTCTATGATCAAACTCTTAACTTATAGTTAAGAATCATGGCACTTTGGCCTGGCCCATTTCGCTGCCAGGGTAGCTCACCGCTTGCCCTGGGTCCATTCAGTCCCTCGTCGGGACCCTGCTTTTGGGGTGTTAGGAACTAAGGGCAACTGAGGCTTAAGTCGAGAAAGATGCCCGGGAGTGAACAATATTCAAGGCCAATCAAATCCTAAGTTACAAAGCATAATGTTAACGGTCTTCCTGTATCTATACAAAAAGGATATTACCTTAAAGTAAATTGTTCATAAGGCATAAGGAGAGGAGAAAGGCAATATTTCACTCATACATATAAAATCATAGATTTCTGGGAAACTGATCTTACAAATTAACAAAGTCTGATTAAGGGGAAAGCTGATTAACTGGGTGGGAAGGAGAGCATAGGGAAGACTGTTTACATGTTTACATGTAAACACAATGGAAGTGGAAGTGCCTCTGGAGCACTGTGGTGGGTGTAACCAGATTGATGGGTGTAACCAGATAAATCTAAGCTTCTTGAAGGACAAAGCAATGTTACCCAACAAAGAGGTATTGGTTTTTATTTACTTACTTGATTAATTTTGTTCCACGTCTCTAGCATTTTTATTTTAGTATTGTTATTTTTGAATCACTGTGATATACACTGTGATGAGTGCCGTCAGTACTCATCAATACACTGGCTTGGCTCTTCACTCGCTACCTGTCTGAATGCAAGGTTCCGTCCCAATGGAAAACCAGCAGGACCGTACTACTGTTCAAGAAGGGAGACATCCATGACATTGGCAACTATCGCCCGATCTGCCTATTGTCTGTCATCTACAAGTTGTTCACTCGAGTCATCCTAAATAGGATTGGCAGAACACTAGATGAAAGACAACCATGCGAGCAAGCAGGGTTCCGCAAAGGATTCAGCACCATCGACCATAGCCACACGATAACCAAGCTCATTGAGGTTTCTCGGGAGTTCAAGATGCCGCTCTGTTTAACGTTCATTGATTTAAAGAAGGCCTTTGATTCTGTTGAGATGGAAGCGGTCATTGAAGCCCTAGCCAATCAGGGCATTCAAGCCCAATACATCAGGATCCTCCGTGAGCTGTATTGCGGATTCACTACCAGGATCTCACCATTCTACAAAGAAGTGATTGTTGATGTCAAGAGAGGGGTGCGGCAGGGTGATACCATTTCACCGAAACTCTTCAGTGCCACCCTCGAGAACATCATGCGACGACTGGAATGGGAAGGAATGGGAGTGAAGATAGATGGTCGGCAACTACACCACCTCTGCTTTGCTGATGACATTGTTTTAATAACACCAAACATCAGCCAAGCGGCACAAATACTGGCCGACTTTGACCATGAGTGTGGAAAGGTAGGACTACAGCTGAATCTTACGAAGACAATGTTTATGAGAAACAGCCTTGTTCCTGACGCCCCATTCGCTCCCAATGGAACAACCATCTCCGAATGCAACAGCTATGTGTACCTAGGTCGAGAGGTCAACATGACAAATGACCTGGCACCCGAGCTGCGCAGGAGGAAGAGAGCGGCTTGGAACGCCTTCAAGAACATCGAAGAAATAGCTAAGAGGACGAAGAACCTCCGGCTCCAGGCACATCTCTTTGATTCCACTGTTCTTCCTGCATTAACATATGCCTCAGAGACCTGGGCCCTACGCAAACAGGATGAGAACGCTATTCAGGTCTCCCAAAGAAGAATAGAAAGAGCTATGCTTGGAATATCACGTTTCACTCAAATGAGAGAAAGAATCTGGAGTTCCGACATCCGTCAACGATCAAGAATCAGGGACACTGTCTCATTTGCCAAGGCGTCAAAAATCAGATGGGCTGGTCACGTAATGAGATTTAAAGACGACCGCTGGACTAGAGCTGTTACTGACTGGATTCCACGGGATGTCAAAAGACCGCGTGGCCGCCAACCTACCAGATGGTCAGACTTCTTCGTGAAGATCATGAACGATCGGTTTTAGGCCCTTCATGTTCCCGGAGCGAACAGATGCCATTGGGCTACACTAGCACGCGACAGGGACAAATGGAGACGTTACTGGCGCCCACTCGAGCAAATCGACGACTCGCCTGAGCAAATCGATGACTAATGGGAAGTTAAGTGATTAAGTGTGATTAAGTGTATGGTCTAAGACGTTTGTCTAATCAATCTTTCTTCTGAATTTCAAAACCTAGCAGAGTGAAAGTTAAAATAGCAATCGAGGCTTCAAGGGATATTACAGCGAGTAGGGAACTCATCTTGCACCACCTGGGTTAGATCCCTGGCACC